ATTGACACTGAGTCTCCCGGCTGATCCGGAATGGGCAAGGGTCTGAGAAGACCTAACGGGGCACGCGTAGAAGACTTGTTACGCTGGCAGACCTTACAACTGCGAACATACTCTACGCAGTCATTCTTCATCCCTGGCCAGGTATACGCGCGCATCAGATTGGCTAAGGTCATTCTTCATCCCTGGCCAGGTATACGCGCGCATCAGATTGGCTAAGGTCTTTTGCCAACCAAAATGACCCTTCGTTTCATGGCATTCTCCCAGGATCAGACTGCGGATCTCTTCGCTATTGGGGATGCACAATCGGTCAAAAACATTAGTCTTCTCAAAAAGCAACCCTTCAGTAGTGCAGTAGTTCGGCTCGGTCTCTGGGGCCTCCTTGACTTTCTTAAGGAGATCACCATAGATAGGGTCCTGTGCATAGGCTTCTCTAACCTTCTGCCGCAGATCCTTTTCTATATCGAGGTGATGTACTATTGCCCCAAAGTAATCTGCTCTCCTACTCAGAGCATCCGCAACTACATTGTACTTCCCTTTAACAGGCTTGAGCTCGAAGTCGTACTGATCTATCTCTGCGGCCCACCTAGTAAGCTTAGGTGTCATCTTGGCCTGGGTCTTTAACCATCGTAACGTTTCATGGTCCGAATAGACTTTGAAGTGCCTCCCAAGCAAGTAGTGCTTCCAGTGGTCTAATGTTTGCCTGAGAGCGTAGAGTTCCCTCTCATAGGTAGATGTCGCAACCTTCTCTGAAGGCATCCTAGCGGACATGAACTCTACGGGTCTATAGCCATTGCCATCGTCTTGCTGTAACACTGCGCCTATGCCGTACTGGCTAGCATCYGTAGTAACGACAAAAGGCAAGGACGGATCGGCGACCTTAAGGACCGGGTACTCTATCAACGCCTGCTTTAGCTTCTTCATGGCAGACGTRCAGTCCTTGTCCCACTTCCAGATTGTCTCTTTTCTTAGCAATCTGCGAAGGGGTGCAGCGATGGTGGAGAAGTTCCTCACGAACTTCCTGTAGTAATTTGTTAAGCCCAGGAACGAGCACAACTCTGTTAGCGTACGTGGCTTGGGTCAATCTCTAATCGCTACGATCTTGCTATCTTCTGGCTTAACGCTGTCTCCGTCTAAGACGTGGCCTAGATACAAAACTTGGGTCTTCGCCCAATCGCACTTCTTCGCATTGATCTTGAAGTTAGCTTCTCTCAGCTTCTCCAAGACCCGCCTGAGATGACCCTGATGCTCGTCAAGGGTTTTACTAAACACTAGAATGTCATCTAGGTACACTACAACAAATCTATCTAACCATGGCGTAAACAAATCGTTCATACAACTCTGGAACGTAGCTGGCGCATTGGTTAGTCCAAAGGGCATCACTATAAACTCATAGTGCCCGTACCTAGTCCGGAAGGCTGTCTTATACTGATCATCAGGATGTACCTCTATCTGATGGTATCCGGACTTTAAGTCTATCTTAGAGAAGTACTTGGCCCCTTGCACTCGATCTAAGAGATCGTCTATCCTAGGCAGTGGCTCAGCATTCTTTACTGTAATAGCATTCCGACCCCTATAGTCTATACACATCCTCAGCTCTCCCTCTTTCTTAGGGACAAAGAGAACAGGGGCTCCAAAAGGAGACGAACTGGGCCTAGTCCAACCCTTTTCGAGGAGCTCGTCCAATTGCTTCCGTAACTCCTCTAACTCCCGCGGGGACATCCTATATACADCACCCTTAGGAGTTCTACTGCCAGGCTCTATCTCAATACGGTGCTGGATGGGCCGTGGCACCGTGCCTGTCGGCGGCTTAGTTAAATCCTTAAACTCTTCCAGCAATTTGGCAATAGTAGGGTCTACGGGCTTCTCTTCCTTAGGCTCAGTCACTAGCCTAATATAGGCGACAAAGACCTGTTCCTCCAATTTCTCCTTCTTCACCAATCTGACGAATGCGGGCGCGCTCAGGCAACAATGTGCCAAGGAATTCTCTACGCCTGACACATGGAACAGGCGGGCAGTCTTAGCCTCGCCTGAAGAACTAGGGAGCCTACACTCGTGCTCCTTCAAATGGAGCGTGGCCCCGGCTGCCTCTCCCCAATCCATTCCCAGAACAATGTCGAATGGGAGACTGTCTTCTACGAGGAGATTCAGGGAGTGGAGGACCTTCTCCACTTTCCCATTCTTCTCTATGCGGAAATACGCCTGGACTCCCTCTACATATTCCTCTACAACCATAGTATGATTGTCTGCGAGGATACTAACTATGGGATCTGCTAGCTTTTGGACTTTAAGCCCCAGCTTCAACTTCTGCAGCGCCTTCCTACTAATATAGCTGCGGGTAGCCCCTGAATCTACTAGGGCCCCTACTCTACCTCTAAAAATCTCTACATCTACCAGAATTAGCTGTCCTTTCTGTTCTTTTTTCATCTTGGCCCAGGCGGGCATCCTCTCCTTCAATTCTTCGGCCACGCCTGTGAGGGAGGTGTCTAAAGAGACCCTAACACAAGCAGTCTCTGGACAGCTGTCTAGACACCGGCCTGCAACCTCTGCCATAGGCACATGTGGTGTGGGAGTCTCCTGCCGGCTAGCGCTATGTTCCCCACATGGCCTAATGGTAGGGGCAGTTGCTACCCCTACCGACGACTGCCTTTTGGCCCTTGGGCAGCCGTTCGGGTCTCTCTATACTTAGGACAATATTTGATGATATGG